AGACGACCATAGTGTTGCTTTAGAGGAACAGGTAAAATTGTATGTTTTCCTTCTCATTATCTTGTTTGCTTGAATATGAAATTTTCGAAGCGATAGTGAACTTCGTCCATATCACTCTCTAAGTAGCAATCACGAACACAACCCTGATTTGAGTTTAAAATTGACCTAATTTTATGCAAGACTAAAATGGTCGGCTTGAAATTAGCGTTTTTTTTATGCGTATAGTGGGAAGTGATGTGATCACTGTTTCATTTATATGGACGAAATCAACTCTACTCCTCCAGAGTGAGATTTTTATGGGTATTCCTAGTCTGTTCAGTTTTATGGTAGTTCGTACTCCAGGTTTAACTGGTAGCAAACACGTATGCTTTGACTCGTATTATTTTGGCTCTCTTGAAAATATGATCAATTCATCCCAGTGTTAGGACAATCAGTTTATCACACCTTTTAAAACAGTGTAGTTAGTTCCTGAATTAGGTTTTTACCCTATTTTCAAAGGTTACTCATTTGATAGATATTACATTACTTTATTTGACGTTACTTCTGGTGCTCAGTGAGTTAATATCCAATCTTGATTGTAGCTTGATTTGATTCAGAAATTGTAATTCAATCGATGTACTAACTTCGATCTATTCATTTACTAAATCCACTGACCTTTGAAATGTGCGATGGCCTTAATAAATACCGGTGCGTGTTGAAAATCATGAGCAGTAGTCTAATATGTGCACCATTGTTAATTGACTACAATATTTTGACTGAAGTCTGAATTTACACGGAGAACACTCAAATATTTGCAATTTTACTTTTAGTGTCCTTTATTTTTAGATAAAATACCGAATCCTTCTCTTGAGATAAGATAAGTTGAAAATGAGTTCAATAATAAAAAATATAACATATACAAAAGATGCAGTTACTCCTTTATACATTTTTGCAAAGAAATGGTAAGCAAAATAAATTAAATACTTACATTGTTAGGAGTCGGCCAGCTGCAGCTTGGGCTATTAGCTTTGGTGCGTTAGCAGTTTACGTTATCGACTGGAAAGTGATTTGCACTAGAATTCCGTTTTATAATAGTAAATTCTCAACTCCAGCAAAATGAAACATTGACTATAGAAAGTCATCCAAATACGTAAAATTAAGAAATCATTCAGTCCCTCAGAAATTCTTCAACTAGCTGATATTAAAATCCTGTATTTTAAACATGTATAACATATTTCAGAATACATAATTCTTAGAAGCAAATCTTTTGTAATAATACCGGGATAAAGAATTGGTACATTCATATTCTTAAATATTTGTTCTTTATAATGTTATCACCAACAAAAACCCGACCGTAGCTGCTACCTTGACGTGGTGGTCGGGCTTGCCTATCGTGATGACCCAGACGAGCTATACTGGCTGTAACATATGTTCCTGCAGGTCCTACCATGCCAGGCAGGTCGATTGGAGAACGATGAGACTAAAAGCAGCTACCCAAGGTCTGAGGACGAAGTTGTACTGCTGACTGTGATGGAGGGGTGTGACAGCAGTGAGGTGTTTTCCTCGGACAACCAGCATCTGCAGCGATGCTGCCTTCTCACAAGGAAGGAAGGGTTAGAAAAGGTCGGCCCTAAAAATGTCACACCTCCCCTACCTCACGGATTTCCGTCTCCGGCGGTAAGGGTGCCCACTAAGGGCCTTTAAGAACGGAGCTAACCCTCTAAATACCTTTCATAAAAAGGCCGTGCGTGACCGGCCCCAAGCAGTTGTCTGTCGTCTCTGCGGTCACGCACCAACACTAATCTATCTTCCTTTTCAGGTCCCTCAAGAAACAACCTTCCACGGTGTGGGCAGCCGGGAAGTGACAACCGCCCTCATATCCGTAACAGCACGCGAGACCAAATTGGTCAAACAAAAACAATAAATTTACTCATTCTCAAGACATGTTTATTTTTGGAAATCATAGCTAAATCCAAGTAACCAATGCGACCATAAAGTAAATATAGTATAATAAATACTTCATGATAATGAATAAATAGGTTTTGAACTTTCGGTCAGTTAGATAAGTCATTTAGCATATATACCACAAGGAACAATAATTTTGACACCTGTCAAACATTATTATAGTCTGTAATCTTGTAGGATTTCCATAACATTTTTGTTTATAAACTACGTCATCCTTTAGCAAGTTATTTTTTTTAAGTTTTTTGGTTTATTTATGTTAAAACATCTTATTCAGCCAGTCAGCTACAATGCGGAACTTTGTACGTAAGTTGACGTGCAGCATTAATTAGCACAAAGATGCTATTGTCGATTAAATACCCATAGTGGTAGATGTTGTAGAAGGATGAGCAATAATCGGAAAGATTAGGGTTTGAAGATATTATTCGGGAAGTATAATCCACTGAAATAAATTTAAGAAGAGAAAGATGGAGGTTATGAGGAATTCAGATTAGAGTTTAGGAGAACACAAGGAATGGATGCACCTGCGCCATCACAAACGATTTTGAGTCGTCTTTCCAAGTCTCTAAACATGAATTACTATCATCTCGTGGACCTCAACCAGGAAGTCTACACTCACTAAGATGGCGCAATCCAGCTATCAGTGACTTCTCGGATTTGTGTCATATTTGTGTTTGGCCACCCTTAGCATTCTTCGAACCTACTCCTACACCACAAAGCATCGCTTGTCGAGACAGTTGGTCGTTGGGCATTCGTAACATGTGCCAACCACCTCACTTGATGATAATAGGAAGAAGCAAACTCGTCCTTTGGTTAGCAGGCAGATATCTCTCCTATACCACAAGTGATGCAAGGTTGCAAACTTCGGTCGAGCCTTCTGTATCCGTGTCGAAATTTCGTCAGACACCGGATAATTAGGAGTGATGAGTCGGCCAGGATAAGTGAGGCGTTCAACAAACTCAAGTACTCCAATCCCTATCACTAGCTCATATGCCCACGTAAGCCAACTCTGAAGCGATTTTTTGCAGTTTCGAGGAAGAGAATCGCATCCTGAACTACTATTGTGGGACGTCTGAACGTGTATCTATGTTCTAGAATATGAAGTAGTATGAATCTGGTCTATACATCCACTTCCAGGTCGAAAACCATCCCGGTTTTCTCGAGCCCGCTCTAAATAAGCTCTAGTTTGGCGTTGAAGTATTATCTAGGCTAACATTCTAGACACTATTAGTCAAACTGATTCCTCTGTGGTTGTTACAAGAGGACTTTCATCCTGTCTTATAGATTAGGAAAATCAGCGATAGAGACCAGTCAGATAGGATTACTTTCCGAACCCAGGTTCTAGCCAAAACATTAGTTAATCTAACTACTAACACTGGTTCACTATCTTTAAAAATTTAATCCATCAGTACCTGTTGCTCTCCCTCACTTTAGAATGACGTCATCGAGAATCGGGGAATGTACATCAACTTCCCATTCAGGTTTACTTGTAATGATGTGTAACTGAACTTTTCCCTGGATCGGGAATCAACAACAATACCGTTTTTTCCTGAAAGTTTCGCTAACTCACAGATTCTTAATACCAGTTGTCTACTGTTATCTGTCGCCGTTGCCTTTTCCATCTCTCTTGCTTTCGCTACCCACCACTTTGCGATAATTTTATAGACTTTTTACCAACCTGCGCTTAAGCTGACTCGGCTCTTCCTTATGTTCAAAGCCAGATGCTACTGAAATCTACTGGTTTCCCTTAACCTTTGGTTTAAGCTACTAGCAGACATCACTGCTGTTTCCACGGCTATTTGGATATCGTTTCAAGCTTCTCCACTTACATACTTGTCTGTTTTTCTGGTTGCTCTCCAGATGTACTCTTGGCCTTCTTATCATTAGATAAAAGACATTTCCTTGGTGTCTTTCGTACCTCCAGTAATTTGCAGAAAAATATGTGCTCGTGCGTGGTCTGAGTCTAAACATGTGCTGCAGTCACCCAGTGAGCTTGTCCGACGATGGCTGATGATTATGTAGTCTATACCAGTTCAGTAGATTTCAGGGGTCTCCATGTCAACAGATTTTTTTCCTTATACTTAAAGTTGGTGCTTGCTAGAAATAAGTAGCTATCTGAGCATAATTGTAGCAGATGGTCTCGATTATCTGTTTGGTGAGCCGCAACAGCAACATCCACCACCTAGGTGTCTTTTGGTCTCATTTAGCCTACCTACTTGAGCATTAAAATTACCAGCCACTGTGACTACATTAAAGTACTTAGCCTTTCGAAGATCGGCGAGCTTTCGTTACGATTGATTTTTTGCCTCATGTGAGTTGCAATCTGTCGGAGCATAGGCAGAGACAACGGTGAGGGTCTCTATCTTTTCCAGTTCTTACTGTCCCATTTAGTGGGAGAGCATACAAGAGACTATCCACTAGAATCCACTTTAAGAGGCTAGTTCTGCTTTAGAAACTAATACCATGCCCACACCAGTGGGGCAATGGATATTAGCAGTAGTCTCCTGTTACACGAAGGGCGAATCGCTCAGGTTCTTTATTTTTATGAGGTGGGTTCAAATGAATGACTGCTTGGGTCCTGTATGCGCGTTTCGGAGCCGCACCAGTCGTCGATGGTGCGAGATTCTACAGTCAGAGATAAGGAAGCCCTTTGTACAAGGTCTGAACATCAAAAGCTCCATTATGTAGTTTGAAAGATAGGAGGCCAGGAATAACATTTCGTGAACTCAAATCATGAGCATTAGCTGCGCAAGGTGATAAAAATAGACGAGAAAAATCAGTTGTGGAGATAAGAGAGTATAAAGAGGTGGGGGAGGAACTCGGTCGTGAACAGGTTGGTATTGTATGTTTTAAGAGGGTCTTGTGTTCTACTCCCGCTCGCGGTTACATAGTACTAAGTCCCATACTAGAAGGACGTTCAGTCCAATAAAACTCAACAATCTCCACAAGCCTATGCTGGCATTTTTATGTTTCGTTCTTCTCGCCTCAACGTAATTCTTCTTGCTAATTTAATCTCATCTCATATGATACAACAACTTGAGTTAAGACACATTATTTGCACAAGATTCCACGTTAATATAAGCAAAGAATTTGAACTAATCCAATTTGACAAATACAAAAGCTGGAAATTTAATATTTTTTTTATAAATTTAATTAATATACATGGTTACAGCTTTTCGTTAAATTAAAAAAAAAAAACACAAATATTTTTTCTGAAATTCACATTATAAATATAAACTCTGCATTTTTGGAAATAAGCAAAAAGAAAGTGATATGATAGATAGCATCCTTTTTATTGTATGGAAGTTATTGTGAAATCACGTACAGATTTAACCGAGAGAATAAATGGTCCTTCTTGGCCAGGTCGATAAGTGGAAACAATGACATTGTATACACCACCAGAGAGACCAGCTTGTTCTAAGACAACATATCCTCTTCTATATTAAATGAATAAATCAATGAAAAAGCTATAGAATAATGATGGAATATTTAAAATGAGGCGTTAAAAAAAACAGCAAAACGATTACTGACGCTATGTTGAATAAGAAGGTATTTGATGTGTCAACGCACATTTTAATCGTTTTCATGATAATGCGATTTGGTAAGATTACCAAGGTAGCTGCTGTTGAACTGCTCACATGATCGTACCTAATCAATCGCAGATAGTATTCGTTTATAAAATACTGAAAGGAAGTATATGTCTATGATCTGATTATTAATTTGTTCGGAAATTAAAGGTTAAAACAAAGCACTCCATGAAAGTTTGCTTCTGTTTGACACAACATAGAAATTTTATTCCTTATTTTTTAAACATGCGAAACCAAGTGATTTAAAATACACTCTTTGCTTTAAATATTTTACAAGCATCCAAGGTTGATTGGTTGGACTAAGTTAATTAATCTGTTGATACGGTTGTTAATCTTTACCAAGTGAGATAGTTGAGAGACATGTATTACGTATCTCCAACAACGACCTGCCTTGGAGCGTAGTTTTAGTTGATACAGGGGTCAAATCGAAATGCGGTATTTATTCATGAAGTTATTGATTATTGGTCTAAATCGTGTTGGCAAGTGTGTGCTAGGATGTTGGGATCTGCTCAATCGACATAACCAATGATTCTAGATGTTAAGTGACATGCCTCGGGATCTGTTCCGATGAGACAGATACATCCACCATTTATCTTGTCTCAGATCTTTAGTTTTCAAATTATTTCTTACTTTTTATTTTGAGAATTTATTTTATCGTATACGTCTAGTGTTTTTATGATGCAGCAACCTGAGATGATAAGTACATATCTCCCAGGTTCTACACTATTTATGAATGAGTGACAATTATAATCGAAATTTCAGTATTCTATCATGAAATAAAATACCAGGGATTCTAACCATGAACATTGTTTATTTTAAAGTCTAATGTTAAGTAGCTGGAGGCTAAACAATAAAAACACCAGCTTAGTGGTATACTGTGTTAAGAGAGTTAGTATGCAGAAAACCCTGCCTCAACCAGATTTTATGCTAGTGAGCATTCATCAACATGACATACCTGAAATTTCAATAAACCTGGTACTCTCTGGTGTATTCCAACCCGCGTCGGCCAGCCTCCAGGTAAGCCTAGCTGACGAGTGCCAACTAGCATGAAGCCTAGATTCAGAAATTCCTGCCATTTACCTCTAATCACCTAGTGAACGTTCATGTTTTATACCACTCAACTCAGTTCTCTACAGGAGGTCAGTCGCAGCTTCGGTAATCAGTGGTAACAAATCTAACTGTGACACACTGGATAATGCACGAATCATTAAAACTCTCATAATTTCGGACATAAAACTTGCTGGTAAATGTCGATCAATATGAAACTCAAGGTCGGGCAGAAATTCTTCATAATAGTTTTTAACTACCACCCAAAAACATTCGTTTATTGAGTTGATCAAGTAAAGACAAAATGTAACTCAATAATAAAGTACGCAAGTTCGAATACATAGATTGAATCAATATGAAGGCTGGCGATACTAGCCGACCACTCAGACCATATTAGGTAAAGGAAGAGGGGCTGCTAAGTCTGTGGCTATAATTAATTATAAATGTGAATCGGTTTATTTTACCGGAAATAATTACCTGTAATCTCCAGTAGTTGATCGTTGTTGCTGATTGGGTGCTTGATCATTTGTAGCAGATATACGAATTAATTCTAAACCCAGTGCATAATCTCTGTAAAAGTAGGTAACAATTATATTCAAAATACAGTTTCGTTAAGTAACTTTTAATGTGTTGAGTTTATACTACTTACATAATAAGTTTAAATTATCGAATGCCAATGACCAGGTGTTTGTGGTATACCGTACTATTGAAAAAGAGTTACCGTTTGACAATAGACAACATTGAACGACTTTTCTAACACCGGTAAGTAACGTGATTTTATCCCTCTCTTCATCATGGTCAACATGTGTTGCGTGTAGCGCTTAAATATTGGTTCTTCTTTTCAGATTGACTGCATTCACTTGTAAGCCTACTGATATGATTACGCAGTTATATATACACACTAAGGCTTTATTAATTTACTTTTTCTGGATAGAGTAGAAGTTGGAAAAAAACAGGGGCGATTAAATCTGAGCCATATTAGTAAGATACTAAAACTGTTTGTTCATGAGAACTTCAGTGAAGTAGTTCTAAATCGGTCTCCATAGCACAAATGTATTTACTCTGTGCTTACTTAAATTTACACGAGCTCTGGCGTTGATTATATAACTGAACAACTTAAGCCTTGCTTTTGATGGAAACATTATCTCATCTATGTCGAATAAAGTGCGAAGTAACGAAGGGTTTTAACTTCTCATTATTAAAATTATATATATATATATATATATATATATATATATATATATATATATATATGTCGATGACATAGTCCTACTTGGTGAAGACGCTGACAAAATGCAGTCCTCTGACTACCATAAGCAACAATAAAAGCATGTTCGAGATGCGGTTTTTCCCCTCGAAATGCAAAATGTTGCTTCAAGACTGGGTTGCATCGGCACCTGAACTAGTGATAGGGAGTGAAGTAGTCGAACGTGTAGACCGCTTCACTTATCTTGGGAGTCTCATCAGTGCCGATGGCCTGGTGACTGACGAAATCTCAGCTCGGATACAGAAGGCTCGATTGGCTTTTGCCAACCTGCGTCACTTATGGCATAGGCGAGATATCCGTTTGCTGACTAAAGGACGAGTGTGCTGCGCAGTAGTTCGCTCCGTCTTACTTTATGGCTGTGAAACACGGCCAGTGAGAGTAGAAGATATTTGTAGGTTACTGGTTTTCGATCGTAGGTGTCTTCGAAGCATTACTCGTATATCTTTGGATACCCGAGTGAGCAACGCTGTTATTAGGAATCGGGTACTAGGTAAGAATGGCAAATCAATAGATGAAGTGCTGAAACTTCATCAGTTGAGGTGGTTGGGACATGTGCTGCGTATGCCCAACCACCGACTGCCTCGTCGAGCTTTGTTTTGTAGTGTAGGAATAGGTTGGAAGAAAGCTATGGGCGGACAAACCAATACATAGTGCAAATCCATGAAGTCATTGACGAGTGGGCTTAGCCATGTCGGTAGTTGTCGACTACCTGGTTGGGGTCCGCGAGATGATAATAATCGATGGTTAGAGACCTCGAATGACATGGCTCAAAATCGTTCGCAATGGCGCCGGTGCATTTATTGTTTGTGTTCTCTCAAATCCTAATCTTCTGGATTCTCCAATATCTTTAGTTTTGACTTTCTAAACTTGTCTCACTGAATCATACTTCTTGAATAATATCTTCTAATCCTAACCTCTTAGATTACTTCTGATACCTTTACTACCTCTTCTACTATTGGATTTGAATTGACAATTACATCTCTGTGCTGATAAGGTATGGCAACATGAACTGATGTACTTACGCACGAAGTTCTACGTTGCAATTGACTGACTGATATATATATATATATATATATATATATATATATATATATAGAGAGAGAGAGAGAGAGAGAGAGAGACAAAGGGAGAAAATGACTACCTCGGTCCACGTAATTCAATTAACAATTGATTATCATAATCATTATTTGGTATATTAATTTGAAATCGTGGATTAGTACTATAGCTCTCTTTATCATTGATACAACCACCGGCATTTGCTCCTTTCCATTCACCAGTAATCTGTACGGGATAATTTAATCAATAAATAAGGGAGGGAGAAAAGATTAAATAAATATATGATGCAGTAACTTAACAATTCGGGAAAAAAACGTTTATTCAATGAATCTTTATTAGTAGGACAGAATTCAAACTATTGCATATATTTCATGGTTTAAATCATCAACTGATTTTAGTTAGATGGACCCATTAAGAACCAAGACGTACTGGAAAGTTATTTTGTGCTAGTATGAGATTCTTCAGCAGTGGATATCCACAGCATCATCAACAGGGGATCGAGCCTAAAACTTTCGACCTTGTGCACGAACGCTTGGACCACTGACTGAGTTGGCATCCAATGAAGTGCATCTCTGTATGTTATGAACAGCTTAAGGTCAAACTATGCTGGTTGGTTAATTTTCAATCAATTATCGCTAGTGAATGGATCGAGAATATATTAGAAGATTCTTATTGAAACTCTGTATAAACTCTTATATTTTTACCATTGTATTTCCCTTGTTGTCCGAATTAGTGGAATATACATATACTATCTGTTTTCAACTCCTTTTTTTCAGTTACGAAAGGGAATACGGTCAGAGAATACTAGCTACTGGAATAATGCGGCTACTTTAAGTTAAACAACATTTTTTATATTATAATCATAAGAAATATCATATACATTACAAACTTGATGTATACAATTCAGTCAGAACTAAAGATAATTTCAATTGTCACATGGACAAAATATCTTACATCCATCCACAAAGCGCATGCATCACATGTTATAATGCTTTTGTTAATTCGCATAGACGAATGCTTTCAGTCGAGTGAAAAGTAGACTGAGCTAACGAAGACAGACCTGGGTGCGTGACCGCAGAGACCAAGGTACAACTGCTTGAGGCCGGTCACGCACGGCCTTTTTATGAAAGGTTATTTGATGATTAGCTCCGCTCTTAAGGGCCCTTAGTGGGCACCCTTACCCAAGGAGACGGAAATCCGTGAAGTAGGGTGAGGTGTGACATTTTTAGGGTCGACCTTTTCTAACCCTTCTTTCCTTGTGAGAAGGCAGCATCGCTGCAGATGCTGGTTGTCCGAGGAAAACACCTTACTGCTGTCACACCCCTCCATCACAGTCATCAGTACAACTTCGCCCTCAGACCTTGGGTAGCTGCTTTTAGTCTCATCGTTCTCCAATCGACCTGCCTGGCATGGTAGAACCTGCAGGAACATGTGTTCCAGCCAATATAGCTCGGTTGGGTCATCACGATAGGCAAGCCCGACCACCACGTCAAGGTAGCAGCTACGGTCGGGATATACCTAAACGACGGATGGTCGATATTATTTTAATGTCATAGAAGTCAAAATCCTAATACAACCAACCGTCAAGTGATAACCAATTTTGTTACTCAACAAATCATAACTTCTCGTAAAAAAACCCACTTGACTTTATGATGAGATTTCCAAATTCTAAGTTTTTGTATGATTGTTTTATGACTTTATTTAAAATAGTATTATTACTATTATTAACTAATCAATAAAAAAACCGTACCACGAAACTGCAAGTGATTAGATAACATGACTTTCTTTTTTCAAATAACAACAGTATATTAATGGTAATAGAAAGTACTAGACACAGTCAATAACTATCGATTACAAGTTTGAGATGATTATTTTTAACTTTGCAAAACGATCACATGTCATCAATGCTGTCCCCTCATATTTTATTCAGAACAATTATGAAAGCTTTAATAATAAAAATAGATTTGTGCTGTATAAATGATCACAAATGACAAAAGTAAGCAGTGGTGATTCATACATAGTCAGTAGGTTAGTGTACTTATGAATACAAATCAATCGATTAAAAAGTGACTAACTAGCATTTGAATATTATTATCTGTAGCTTAATAATACTCCCATTTCTATCTGAAATGCTTGTACAATATCCAAATTTACGTCCACTGTTCGCTGGGTGTCTAGCGATTATACTTGTGGAAATGTAATTTCTTTTTATTTACAGATTTTGAAGATTATAAGCAGTGATAGAATAGTGGCTAGTATAAGGAATCCAGAATACGTGTTTCATTCTATTTAGAAATCTTTGGCTGGATGTACCTGAATCCCAGTGTTGATATCTACTCCGAGACTCGAACAGAGTACCGTTCGCTTCAAAGTCTATCGTATCATCATCTATTTAGCTACTTTGACCAGACAACCACTGGCTTGTGTGATGGGGTGAAGTTTAATTTATTTGTATTGGTTGTTTAAATCTCCCCATTGATAGTTAGGATTGTAATGAATTAGTCTCAGTTCTGCTCATAATCCTTGTGATCGAATAGCCATATCAAGGCGATCGGCTCAGGATGCACATATGTCAAATGAGAGTGATTAATTACAGTTCTAAGTATCAATGAGAAAAATCAAACTAACACTACAAATGAATTTTGAGGATACCCTATTTTCAGTCTTATACTGTAAACATAATGTACAGACGCTGTTTCAAAGGAAGTAAAATGTTTACAAGTCTGATCACTCGATATTTTAATGGACAGCGGCGATAAGATGAGTTATGGTAAAGCCGTTCAAAACAATTAATAAGTAGCGAATGCCGCATCGACTACACTTTACAGCGTCCAATTGTCCTCAATCACTTTCAACTTGACTTTTGTACACAGAAAGAAGGTATGATAAACTTCTCATAACCATGTCAAAATGATTAAATACAGTGGAGTAACGTTATCTGTTACGTAATTTCTTCGCTTTATTTTACATTACTTCGGTTAGGTACTTTGCTTTGATTTTCTTTGAATGCATTTTACCACCAAGTCACTGGTTCTACAATTTGAAATCTGTTCATCAGTTGAACTTAACAGATAAAGTCTATGAGTAAATAATTCTTAGCTAAATCACTTTAATCGATGCAGTATTTTACATTACATCCGCTATTCGATTATTAAATACTGACAAATATCATCCGGACACTTAAGCAATAAACGCAACAAACAGGAAAGTCACATCCATAGCCTGAGTTACTGCAACGGAATTGAAAATAAAAACAACACACAGTACCACGAATATCCGGTTACTATTCATTGTGCATATATGACAGTGATTAAATAGAAACATCCAATCGCCAGATAAGACTGTCATCGACTGTCGGATTGAACTTTGTTAGGGCCTTCGCAAAAGTTTTAATTGCAGGTTAAAAATATTCAGCAACTTTGTTTGCGATCAATAGCTGTAGTGAAGATTCGCTGACTCTCTATATTTTCCTCTAGACCTTCAGTTTTAAAATGACTTACTATTATGGATACCAACTCCGCCCGGAGCCCTCCTAGGGTTATTGCCGGTCCAAAGCCCGGATAAAGAAGGAGGGTTGGGCATGGGGTTAGCGACTCCATCATCCCGTAAAAATCCAACTCGTTAAGAAACGCTAACCAGGAAACTAATTCGCTGGTTGGTGGCCTATGCTGCTTCATTAGAGATAACAGCCGTAAGTAACCCCATGTATGCCTTTACCATTCTGAAATTGGTATTGATAATTTCATCTCATTGTGTTGATAATGATCTAGCAACTTGAACTGATATACAAGATTCTACACTGGTTATGACTGATTCATTAATAAAGCAAAAACGTAATCATTGTTTATAACTTACTTGTTTCGATATAGTATAAGGATCTTTAATTTTTGATAAAGTAAATGGTGCTGTTGAATAAACACGTATTGTATAATAAATTGTTATTGATTTTTCATATTGTGAAATTAAAAGAATGTAATTACACGTTCCAGCATCTTGAAGCATTTTCACTAAACAATGTGGACTGTTAATCCGCACTGAATCACAATATGGTTCCGGATCATAAGGATAATAGACTTTACGAGATTTGACATTTTTATAAACAACCACTGCAATGAATTCTTTATTATCAGCAAAATCTGCCTTAAATATTGAAAAAAAATAATAAAAGCAATTAATATGTGATGATTAATTGAAAAGTTTTAATGCAAACTGGTTTTTTAAGCCCATGTACTACTGTGGTGCGCGCTACTTATAAGTAGTATATGACGCGAGTGTAAACGTAATGTCTGGCAGCAGAAGATGGGGGAAGATCAAGAAAGGGAGAGTGGGAACGTAATGGAATTTGTATGAAACGCATGAATAGTGAACTGTCAGACAATGGATTGATGATGGATTGAAGATTTGCCTATTTTACTGAGTAACTCTGTAATTTTCGTTGAATACAATTAAGTAACAGATCAAAGAGGGCATACAATCAAAATAAAGGTTCAGACAACGACAGGTTTAAGGTCAATAAAAACTAATCACAGTCTAGGTTAACAGAACACACATGGAGAAATTTCAGTACTCCATTTCTATCTGGAGTTTGTGCTGATGATGTTGTTCAGAAGAACAATGAAAGTTCCACAACCAAAACACCCAACTCAAAGAACAAAACTACACCACGAACTTGAATAGTATTGTTACACTCATCAAAACAAACATTCGAAATTTTAGTAAGTTTATAACATATAAGGCGCAAAGTTCTGATAAACCTCCAAATTTAACACTTAATTATGACAGCTTAAACTCACATTGATAGTAACGTTCCCCGGTTATGCAATTCATTTGCTAGATGTGAATTAAGAACTATGTTATAATGCTGCTACGTATAGCTATTCAGTCCTAGCGGCGTCCAATTCAAATATTTCAATAGGACCCCAAATGCTATTTCCAAATCTCCTACATATCAGAACGCAACATCGTGGGATGGAGTTGTCTATCGGGTCGAGTAAAGAAGAGAGGCAGGCAGGAAGAAACGGAAAGAGCATCATAGTCTGTGACATTGACAGTTTAGGACGACCAATAGGGAAGAACAATTGAAATGACATTGACAGTCCGGATGACCAATCAGGGACAACATTGAAGTATTTAACTTTGACAGTTAAAACAATCATAATTTTGACCAATAGAAATCGACCAATAGGATTATACTCCTAAAAATAGCACTCTTAGGATATTTGGTGAATATCCTAACAAACTATACATGTAAACTATGAAAAATCTCGAACAATAAGCATCGTTAATCTATGCTTTAGGCATTTCAGTTATCATCATGTTACTTTTCAAAAGACCATTCAGACTATTGGGCATAGATTGTAAATAGACTTTAACTGACAAACTTAATTACACTTGAAAATATGTGATGATTCAAAGATAATCAGCTAAAGCTGATTAATACATTCTCATATGAGAACAACACCTGAAAGTAAGTTAGATGTAAAATTGTATATCGATAATTTCTAAGAAGTGAAGTTAGAAACACAAATCACTGACGTGTTCTACTAGTGGGTACAACTGAAGGACCTCTAAATTACAAAAACATACAACCTCTGAATACCTCTTGACTTCCAATAATTCATCAAATAAAGTAATATTTTAATCAATGTCTGAAGTTCTCATTATTGAACTTACTTTATCTACAATATGTCGTGTTAAAAGTATCCATATAGGTGATTCAGCTTGGGCAGTGACTTCCAAATTATACTGTGGATTTTCGGCACTAGCGTAAGAGTCTTTTTTAGGTCCAGATCCAGCAAGCCAACAACTTAAGATAAGAAATGAAGTGAATCAAACATTGGTCAAATAATTTGATAATAATCATTACTGAATGAAAATTTAACTGTATAGTTTTATAAAGACTTAGACATAATATTTGAGAAGTATTGGCAATTTACAAAACTGTAGACTAAAAAATAAATATGAATTGACTAGGTTTAATTTACCATTATCCACTAACAACCTATTAGCTGAAATTTCTACTAACTGTACAAAAGAGGGATAAGATGTTTTCGTTCATATTAAAAAAAAAGTATGCAACTAGTATTTTGTGCTTAATGTAGCTCAGATTGGTCACTGAATCATCACCTATTTCATATCTGTCTAATAATGAAAGTTTGGATAGCAACACTAAGAGTATAATATAAGTAAGTCCCTTTTAAGACTGCAGAAATGTCTTATTGACAAGTACCAACTAGCAAGAAATTCGGATACAGAACTTCTAGGTTGACTGCCTTCAATCATACAACATGATTTATGCGTAACGATAACAACTGTCTTTGGCTTAAGCACATTTGGAAAAAAACTTGGTGACTAAACAGGTGTTAAAATAAATACCACTTTCTTAAGAAGCAATGTTTGAAACAAATGTTTAAAATAAATTAATTAACATTGTAAACACTAGATGGGACAGGATATATACGTTCATGAATTTGCAGCGCATTTGGTTTTCAATGTTCAATATATTGGAAGTAATATGCATTTTCCAGCAATGTCAGAGTCAGTCAGTCAGTCAGATGCAACGTAGAACTTTGTATGTAAGTACATCAGTTCACGTTGCCATACCTTATCAGCACAGAGATGTAATTGTCAATTCAAATCCAATAGTAGAAGAGGTAGTAAGGGTATTAGAAGTAATCGGAGAGGATAGGGTTAGAAGATATTATTCAAGAAGTATGATTCAGTGAGAAAAGTTTAGAAAGTCAAAACTATAGGTGTTGAAGAATCCAGAAGATTAGGATTTGAGAGAACACAAAGAATAAATGCACCGGCGCCATTGCGAACGATTTTGAGCCATGTCATTCAAGGTCTCTAACCATCGATTATTATCATTTCGCAGACCCCACCCAGGTAGTCAACAACTACCAACATGACTCAGTCCACTTGTCAATGACTTCATGGATTTGTGCCATGTTTTGGTTTGTCCGCCCATAGCTTTCTTCCAACCTATTCCTACACTACAAAACAAAGCTCGTTAAGGCAGTCGGTGGTTAGGCATACGCAACACATGTCCCAACCACTTCAACTGATGAAGTTTCACCACTTCATCGATTGATCTACCATTCTTACCTAGTACCCGATTCCTAATAACAGCGTTGCTCACTCGGTTGTCCCACGATATACGAGCAATGCTTCGAAGACACCTATTATCGAAAACCAATAATCGACGAATATCTTCTACTCTCACTGGCCATGTTTCATGGCCATAAAGTAAGACGGAGCGAACTACTGCACAGTACACTCGTCCTTTAGTCAGCAAACGGATATCTTGCCTACGCCATAAGTGACGCAGGTTGGTAAAAGCCAATCGAGCCTTCTGTATCCGAGCTGAGATTTCGTCAGTCACCAGGTCATCAGCACTGATGAGACTCGCCAGATAAGTGAAGCAGTCAACACGCTTGACTACTTCACTCCCTATCACAGCAATGTTAGAACATTTCATTTTAAGCGCTCATTTTTACTTTATGAGTTTTTTCATTCAGAAAGTTTGGATGCGCTACAATGACCTGTTCAGAGAACACAGCTTTAGATAATTGAAATAAAATTTCCAATGGAAATCATGCATTTATATGCAGCACAATATTGTTAGGATATTCATCCAATATCCTAAGAGAATTATTGGTCAAACCCGATTGGTCGATTTCTATTGGTCAAAATTATGGTCGTTATCACTGTCTAAGTCAAATACTTTAATGTTGTTTCTTATTGGTTGTCCTGATTATCAATGTCACTTCAGATGTTACTTCCTATTGGTCGTCTTAACTATCAATGCCACAGGATTCGATGCTGTTTCCTATTCGACCAAAATGTTTAAGTACGCATTATCTGTAACGTTTATTGGCCACGACCAAGACCAGGGCTCGGTCCTGGATCCCTTGTCCGGGCTCCTGATTCTCTTCTGGATTCGGACCTCGTGCTTACTGGATGCTTGTAGAATACACGTTCTACTTCATATCATGTCTTCTTATTTTAACTAAATATGGGGGTTGTAATAATCGGATTTGAGTAGCATGTCGTGTCACCGGATCCTCGCTCTCGTATTCCGACTAGGTAAACTCGTAATAGTTCAAGTATATCAAGTTGACGTGTTTACGTGCGGGCGTAACAAAATGCAAGATATTGAACTTTCACTAACTTATCTATTTAAATAGTATGATTAGAAGATGTTTGCTGGTTAGCATTCTTTTAGCACACTAACATTGCGACATCAGTACAAAAAGTATTGATGTGAAGTAATTATAAAAATGAATCTATTAATTAAAAAAACAGTGAAACGTTTTCAAATTATAAATATTCTATTTTCAATCGAAACTCAAAGCTTCCCCTGGAATAAAACTAATCAGATCAAACATATAAATAATGATTTAAGACCAATGAATTAATTATTTGAGTGAAAAGTGTGCATTTACGTACATGGGATGCACATTTTGATGACACTTAAAACAATGAATGTTCGGCTAATAGTTATGATGGTCATACCCTCGAAATGCGTTGTTTACGAAGCAGAAAAATTTCATATTCTGTTTAATGCCAGCCTTCATTCTTGATACTTATGTCGTTTCAAACAAAACTCCATTGATTACACTGTGTAGAACTGTTTATGATGATATTACCAATATAAATTTAGGCACTTTGGTGCTGATGAGTGATGAGTGAATTCATGGTATTTCCAGGAAGCATGTTCATCATGTTTTATTTAAACCATACTATTATGCAATTATCATTGATGTGAGATATTTGTGGAAATTGTTCAGTTTGATAACTCATGCTCTTAGTTAGATAACGTGGTAATGACCCACGCAAGCCATTGATACTTCTTGGACTGAAAGTCATGTGACAGGTGTATATCACCTGGTTTAGGGTTTGTACAATAATCGTAAACGATGGTTGGATGAGTAGATTTATTTCATCGCACACTCCACCATTTGTTCAAGGTGAAGTCAAGTCTTGGGCCACTAAACGGGTTACACTTCAATAATTGTTATTTTTCACAGTTGGAAAAAAAAAGAAACAAAAAACCAAAACTTACTCATTCACACATGTTGTGTATGGAAATAATTCCGGATCCCAATTAATATAAAATACATCAAAGAAATGACACAATGAATCATAATCTATCCAAAATACACCATTATCAATTAGCTGAGCCGAGGATCGATCGAAATTCAGCTTGGCTTGCATATGAGCAGTCCAATGTTGTGAATCACGTTCAGAGAAATTACCTTTCCAACGCATATGACTCCAAGGATTTTTCAATAAGAATAAACGATAACCCTTAGTTTGTGTAAAATGATTCATGTTTTAATAAATAAAACATAAAAACAGAATTTTTGTTATTACAAGCGAAATAAAATACTTAAAAAAAAGCCTAGCTGATACGGTGATCACATGAATTTCGATGAGAATAATGATAATGCATAGATTTTTATCAACAGAACAAAAAACAATCACATATTAACGAACATTACAATTTGTATTATATGTTTATTCAGCTGATTTACTACATGATAGTAGAGTTTTATTCGCTTCCTTCTTTTAAACAAACGAATTCTATTTACTAATTGAAACATTTCAAGTGTAGTAAAAAAGTGTATGGGTTTTGAGTCACACTGATGAAATATCAGCACGGATACAGAAGGTTCGATTGGCTTTTACCAACCTGCGTCATTTATGGCGTAGGCGAGATATCCGTTTGCTGACCAAAGGAAGAGTGTACTGTGCAGTAGTTCGCTCCGTCTTACTTTATGGCTATGAAACATGGCCAGTGAGAGTAGAAGATATTCGTAGGTTATTGGTTTTCGATCATAGGTGTCTTCGAAGCATTGCTCGTATATCGTGGAACAACCCGAGTGAGCAACACTGTTATTAGGAATCGAGTGCTAGGTAAGAATGGCAAATCAATAGATGAAGTAGTGAAACTTCATCAGTTGAGGTGGTTGGGACATGTGTTGTGTATGCCCAACCACCGACTGCCTCGTCGAGCTTTGTTTTGTAGTGTAGGAATAGGTTGGAAGAAAGTTAGGGGCGGCCGAACCAAAACATGGCAGAAATCCATGAAGTCATTGACGAGTGGACTTAGCCATGTCGGTGATTGTCGACTACCTGGTTGGGGTCCGCGAGATAATAATAATCGATGGTTAGAGACCTTGAATGACATGGCTCAAAATCGTTCGCAATGGCACCGGTGCATTTATTCTTTGTGTTCTCTCAAATCCTAATCTTCTGAGTTCTCCAACCCCTCTAGTTTGACTTTCTAAACTTTTCTCACTGAATCATACTTCTTGAATAATATCTTCTCATCCTAACCTCTCCGATTACTTCGAATATCTTAACTAACTCTTCTACTATTGGATTTGAATTAACAATTACATCTCTGTGCTGATGCGGTATGGCGACATGAACAGATTGGGTACAACAAACCACTGATAATTGTCTTCCGATTTAGCTACTGGGTTATGAAAAAAACAACTCGAGGAACTTGTTGTTCAGTGACGAACAGGTCGTATAAACAAGAAAGAGAGATGAGGGAGATCATAAAATTGCTTTCCTGGCATTGAGACCAGATATTAAACAGAATCCAAAACAACCTAGAAAAGCAATCTATTTTTTTTTCCTGATAATAACAACACCTGGCAATAATGATTTATTGTCTATAGTAGTGCAGTTTATGTTTTGCCTAGAGGTTAATTTCCTTTTACCTCGCAATTTTTTTGAGAGATGAATACCATTCCATTAGTTCGAAATATATCAAATAGGTTGTGATTAATAGAGTTCAACTATATCGGGTTGTAACGGAAGCATATAGCACAAAAGCTACAAGCACACGAGGTGAATAAGAACAGTTAAGTGAATGTGGAAGATGAAATAATCAAGATTAAAGATGCATATATATACAGGAAAGCTAATGTGAGTTATTTAAGCGAAATTTATATACGTGTTTAGACCGTAACACACCGTAATACTGCTACAACCTCTACTACTACGGGATTTGAATTGACAATTTCATCTCTCTGTGCTTACATCGTATGGCGACTTGAACTGATGTCCATTCGTACCGAGTTCTACATTGTTGTTGACTGACTGACTGATTGACTACTATCTCGATTATATTCGTTTATTGTTTAGTTCATTTCAACTTGCTGTACTGACGACGTTATGTGATGACTTGTGTTGATATACACATTTTTAATGAACTAGTCTCATTGTTTATGAATAATAACTGGTTGACTATGCGAATCACAAATATTCATAATACAACCAATTCAGAATCATTTAAGTTTAATATCGTAATGAGCCAATCACATTTCAATAATACAAGTATGCGAAATAGAAAAATGTAACCAAGACAAATACTCCAAAAATATGTCAGTTAGACCGATTAAAATTATTGAAAGGAAAGAACCTTTGTAACTACTACTTTACTTGAAATTATTAAATACATTTCTAATTTTAATTATCGAGTTGTGAAGATTGTTGAGTTTCATTGCATTCATAAATCGATCACCATTAAAAACCTGGAAGGACTGAACAGCCATTTTGCCCTGGTATAGGACTCGTCAGCAGTGCACATCCATGACCTCCACTCGAGGGGGTCGAACCCGGGACATTCGGTCCCACATGCGAACGCCTAACCTTTAGACCACTCAGCCGGCATTTAATGGTGTTATTGTCTAACTTTAATCAATCCAAGAGATTGCACAACCTTACCCATTGTCTTCGGTAGGTGACTGCCTATACCCGACAGCGTTACACTCCACTGGTCATGGCTCTCATTAGAAGTTCGAGCATTGCCTCACATTTGTGGTGTATATTTACCAAGTGTCTTAGTTATGGTATATTTATTTATATTACTCTTTCATTTCATTCATAATTGTTATTGCATGGTATTACCGTCTTTAAATTTTTGTGAACTAATTATGAACTCATTGCTTAGTTTTGTAGTAAATATGACTTAGTTATGTACAAATTATACATAAACAGATAAGTTTTTGAGTTAAGATAATAAGAAAGATAGTAGATTATAATTCTGCCTGCTTTGTCCTTCGAAGCTAGTGGATGAATACGCACAAGGATTTCTTGATCACTATGTTATTGGTTTTACTCCGCCAGTAGAACCTTAGGGGCTACTGCCGGTCCCAAGCCCGGATAAAGGAGGAGGGGGTTAAACATGGGGTTGGCGACCCCATTCCGTTGAAATCTCACTTGCCAAAAAAACGCTAACCAGAAAAAAT